GGTACTCATGACTTGGGATAAAAGTTCTAACAGCAGCATCATAGTCAAAACAACAACAACAACAAGTCAGATGGAAGAGAAGATGATGTCTGGAAAACAGTCAGATGACTCAAAAGTGCCTCTAGTGACATGGAGGACATGCCACCAAAGACATACGGCAACTTTGAATCAAATAACTTCATGGATTGAAGAGTGGGAGAAATAAATATTTCTAAATTGAATGCTATTTTATATAATGTGATTTTAAATATATATGCTTAAATTAATAAATTAAACATTGAAATTAGATACATAGCTATTTCATCTATATCCCTGAAGGCTTATATTCAAGTTGTTCGAAATCATTAAAATAAATTTTTTTTTCTCTTTGGGAACGTGACCTTATGTTAGGGTCACTTTCTATTCCTGAATACGTCTATAATAAGAGCAAAATCAAAATCACAAACTTCTTGTCCCTTCCAGGGATTCTTAAAATTTAATAGGCATTTAAGCTTTTATGTGAGTAATTAAACTTTAATGGTGAGATCCCAGGCATCAGCTGGTGGATGGGGAAGGTATTCAGGGAGGCAGCTGGGTCTCTGTGCCCTTAGAACCACACTGGGCAGGGCATCAACTCAGATCTGAGTGAGGCTGGCTTTGCAGGGGAGGTTTCCATCGGGGAAAATTTGGAGGCATGACTTTGGAGCTTAACATGGTGGACACGTTAAGAAGAAGAGAATAAAAAGGTATGTGTTCACTATCTCCTGCTGCATTACAAACCCCCCAAAACTGAAGGGCTTAAAACACCATCCATTTATTTGTTACTAGTCTTTGCCTTGGCAGTCGGGGCAGAGCTCAGCTAGGATAGCTAATCTCAACTCTGCATTTGTTTGCAGTTGCTGGTGGGCCCGCTGGTCATGGACAGCCTCGCTCACAGCTCACAGTTGGGGGCCTTGGTGAAGGATCCTGTGATGACTGGACTGCTGGGGCTCTTTCTCCACGTGGTCTCTCTCACCCTCACAGATGGGCTTGTTCACACGGCAGCAGTGTTCAAGAGGGTGACAGTGGAAGCTTCAGGGCTTCTGGAAGCCAAGGCTTGGAAGGCATAGGATGTCACTCCTGCCACATCTTATTGGTCAAAGCATGTCACAAAATCAGCCCATATTCAAGGCAGTGGGGAAATAGATTCCACTTTTTGATGGGAGTTGCGGTAAAGAATTTGTGGCCGTATTTAACTTGTCGTAGGGCGCTTCAAATGGGGAGAACAGGTTCTGGAAGGGAATAGAGAGAAGAAAATGTAAACTGTGCAGCAGGAATTTTGAGTTCAGCCTGATCACAATAGAGGAGGCCTGTTGGTGAGCAGCTCGAAATGACACAAGGCAGGCAGCGTGAGAGGCCCAAAGGCTGTAAGCTTAGGACCAGGACTTTAATGTGAGGGTTGGCAAAGCTGAGTGCACGTGCCCCATCCACTGCCTCAAACGATTCCTTTTAATTCATCTTCATTATTGTTTTCACTTTTTAAAGAATTTTCACTTTGAGATCTTAGAAGTCTGAATTGTTAAAGTGTCATCTCCACAGATGGACTTTACCAAAGCCTTATGGACTTTCAGAAGACAAGAGAGCACAGAGACCATATAGGACAGTGGCTAAGCATCTAAGCTCCAGAGCCAGACAGACCTTCGTTCAAATCCTGTCTTCGTCACCTGGAAGCCATGTGACATTTGATTAGTCACTTAACCATTTTGAGCCTCAGTTTCCTCCAGTATCATCTGGAGTTAAATGGTACCTTCCTCACAGGATGGCCGTGAGGATTAGACACTGCACTTATGGATTTACCTTAGAGTCTTAAGCATTAAATCTATAAGTGCTCAATTAACGTCAGCTGTAATTATAGCCTTTGGATTTTCATTCTTCATCTGTAAAATGAGGTACTACTGTAGAAATTCTAGGGTCTTATTCTTAAAATAGCTAATAAAATTGGGCATCAAGAAAGTTGCAAATAGAAAGGGCTGTGCCTATTCCCAAGGATACTATTCTTTCTTGTGATCTGCATCCAAAGCCCTGTTTCAAATCTAATTGCTTCTCTTCCCTGAAAGAAAACAGACCTCATGGCAAGCATATCTTTTTTTTTTTAAGATTTTATTTTTTTCCTTTTTCTCCCCAAAGCCCCCTAGTACATAGTTGCATATTCTTAGTTGTGAGTCCTTCCAGTTGTGGCATGTGGGATGCCGCCTCAGCGTGGCCTGATGAGCGGTACCATGTCTGCGCCCAGGATTCCAAATGGCGAAACCCCAGGCCCCGGCAGCAGAGTGCACAAACTTAACCACTCGGCCACGGGGCTGGCCCTGGCAAACGTATGTTACACAGAGGTGATGCTCTGAAGAATAAATGCATTTATTCTCTATTTGAATGTATTATACAAGATGAATCAGACTGCTGGAGCCTGCTCACTTTTAACCACATATCTTTTCCTTGTTTAACAAATGTTTTGAATCTCCTACTGTGTTATAGACCTTACGCTAGATATTGAAGATATAATGACAAGTGAAATCAACATAGTTGGCCTCAGCAACTGCTTTTTATATGCTGCATTAAATAAAGCCTAATTAAAAAGAACATATATATATATGTTTTTTTCCTCCAGGGAATATTGACAAATAGATTGCTTAATTTTTTTGTCCTCAATCCTGGGTGACTATTCAAAATAACGTAGCAAAAGTAATTTAATCTGTTTTGAAAAAACAATTATTTTGATAGAAAACTCTAGAGCCAACCCTAAATCAGATGGTCCATCTGTCTGGCAAGTGGAGTGGAAACCACATTGGCTAATAGTGTAGGGCTTCCCTGAGTCCCTCACCCAGGGCAAGAGAAATTTTCCCAAGACTGGTTGGACCCCTCGTAGTTTTGGTGCCATAAAAACATCAGGTAAGAGAGACCTTTAACCACAGGTATAGTCTACAGAGACATTACTCTGTAGTAATCTGAGTAGAATTAATGACTCCCAGACGGTGTTATTTGGAACTGACTTATCCTAGGTTTGTTTTCATGTTTTTCATATCTCTACAAAAGACCCTATTGACTCAATAAATAGAAAGCATCATAGTCACATATAAGGAGACCCAGTTTAGGTTTTAGGGGACTTCAAACTCAAGCCAAGTGTCAATGAAACATAAAACATTTGGTAGATTATGGAACTAGGTTCAGCAGAAAAATATACCATGTTCTGGCTTCAGTTCTGTGCCAGGAAAGTGGGTGATACCCAAATTAGGATGCCTCTTGACCCCAAACTGGAGGTCACAACCAGAGAAAAGTGCTCCACATCTTCCTGATTATTCCATTCAGAGCATCCAGATAAGGCACAAGAATGATCCTGCCCTCCCCGCCATAGCCCACTATTGCTTAATCTTCTACAGCCCTACTTGGAAGCTTACATTCCCCACTCTTCATCTCTTTCTCTCACTCCCGATTCACCCCTGTAATTCTCCCTTCCACCATTTCGCAGGAGATGGTTGAATCGGTCTTTTTGCTTTATCTCATATGCTTTAATTATAATCCCCAAAGTAGGAAATGGAAAATATTGGCACACAACTCACCATCAGACCAAAAAAGCAGTGTTTCTTCAAATGCAGTGAATAGAGTAGCATGTAATCTATTGTCAATTAACTATGAATGTGCTCGTCCTAGCACTTTTAAAAAAGAATCCTTCAAGAAAACTGAGAAATACATTTTTAATGAAGCCACCTGTTCCTTCAGGCCTTGAGAACTTTAACAAGCATCGGTCCATGAAAATAGTTACTGTAAGCATGTATAATAAATTAAATATGAATTTTAAATTATTCATTGAATCTTCCTAAGGATTGAGATGCCACAGGGAAAATGAAAATGCAATGTTAATAAGCAATCAGTAGTGATTTTAGAAAGGAAGGGAAAAAAGAAGGGTCCCTCTAAATTTTGCCTTTGCTGAAGAAAGAGCTAAAGGGATAGCTTCAAATTAGTAGTACCAATTAACGTAAACTTGTAATGCAAGGCTATACTTCATTTTATGTATTGGTGCAATTTTATTGGTTTATATTGTTACATGTTTAATCGTGGACTGGACCTGGGGGAGGAAATAATAATACAAATGAGAGATGTTGTGTATCAGTTGCTTTGATTGGACTTTTTCATAAATTATCCCCAGTTGTAAAGGAAGCAACTGAAGACAGAGAGAGTAAATAACTTGGCCGTGGTTGTTGAGCTGGGATTTGAACACTGGCTTATGTGAGGCTAAAGCTTGTGTTTCCCCACCACGCTGTTCTAGCCAAACTTCATTGTCTCCTGAAGGCGGACTAATGAAGGGAAGTAGCGGAGGGCTCTGGAGTCAGAGTTCTTGGTTCAAATACCAGCTCTTCCTCCTATGAGCTCTGTGACCTTGGATAGTTTCTGCCTATATAAAATAGAGATAATAATGTGAGGGTTCAGTGGGATATGTATACAAAGCAATGAACCCAATGCCTGCTGTGCAGAAAGAGTTTGCTATGTGGTATAGTTATTGTTGTTGCTATTATCATTATTGTTACTGAAAGTTAAAAAAAAAAGGAGAAGGAAATGATGGAGCTGCCTTAGATGGCAAATAGCTCTGAAGCAGTGTCATAGGTTCTTACTGGATCTGGGAGAACAGCAGATTACTCACTCTTTTGAGTTGTCAAGCCTGGGTGATCCCAGCCTGTTTCACTCATGGCCTGCTGACCAAAGTCCCTAATGCATCCGACTAAATGATAACCCCCATCCTGCACCTTCTGGTGACAATGCAGGAGATCTCTCAGCTTTCTTTGGGTAGTGTCACAGTAGGTTCACAGTCAATACATTTTTTTTCCTTGAGCTAAACTCAGTAGGGAAATCTCTGATAGCTTTCTTCTTCTTCTTCTTTTTTTTTTTTTGCTGAGGAAGATTAGCCCTGAGTTAACATCTGTGCCAATCTTCCTCCACTTTACATGTGGGTCACCACCACAGCATGGCTTACAAGTGGTGTAGGTCCATGTCTGGGATCCAAACCCATGAACCTGGGCCACCAAAGTGGAGTATGCCAAACTTAACCACTATGCCACTGGGCTGGCCCCATGGTTTCTTCTTTTTGAAACATCTCTTTCACACTTTAGATTCTAGGACCTTTTCTCTTCCAAGAAAGCCAGGTTTGATGTTCCTAGCTACAACTGAAGAACAACAGCTTTACCCTTCTCTGGCTTTTGAAATTCCTTTCTGATGGGAGGATAGTGTGATGGGTTGAATTGCGTCCCTCTAAAATTCCTATGTTAAAGTCCTAACCCTCAGTACCTCAGAAAGTGACTGTATTTGAGGACGGAGCCTTTAAAGAGATAATTAAGGTAAAATGAGGTGGTATGAGTGAACCCTAATGCAATATGACTGATGTCCTTATAAGAAGAGGAGATTAGGACAGAGGGACAAACATGTGAGGACATAGCAAGAAGAAGAGAGGTCTCAGAAGCAAACAAATCTACTGACACCTTGGTCTTGGACTTCCAGCCTCCAGAACTGTGAGAAAACTAATTTCTGTTGTTTAAGCACCCAGTCTGTGGAGTTTTGTAATGGCAGCCCTAGCAGACTCCTACATGTAGAATGGTCCTCAGATGGTCTTGAAACAGGAGATACTGTGCTCAAGGTGCTCTCTGGAGAAGCCTGAGTCAGAGAAAGAGCCCTCATTACTAAACCACTTAGGGTCTCATGTTTGTAAGGGTCAGTAGAGGGACAAGAGCACTGGCAACTTTGAAGTCACCCTCTCTAGAGAGTCTTCCGTCTTAAATATCTTTCTCCAGAGGTCTGAAATGATGTCATCAGCAGTTCATATGGAGGTCTTGAAGCCTTTTTTTAGTGTTCAACATCTCATGGTAAAATAAGAATATACCAGATGACTGGGATGCCGTTGATAGACTGTGGATGCCGGACGTGGGTTTTGGGAAGGATTCCAGCAAAGGAGCAGTGAAGGAGAGGATGGAAAGGCAGAGATCATCAGGTCCTTCCCTCTCAGCTCTGCCCAGGGCCAGCCTCGAAACGCCTTGCACCGGGCTTACAGGAAGAAGGGTGGAGTTTTGCTTCTTCTTTGGTGGTGCCTCCTTCCCAAACGTGAGGCTCTCCATGGGCACAGGGCTGTGGTGATTGCTTCATGGTGCAATGGTTGAGACAGCTGTCCTTCAAGACCCTTCTTTTGGCCTTTTAGTTGCTGCAACATTTTGATCAGAAATTTCTGCTTTAAGTGTAAAGGATGTGGTGCAATTGGGGAAGGAAGTGTGGAGAACAATCAAAACAAAACACCCCGGCCATAGTTCAGTAAAATAGAACACATTCCTGCCCCCTGCCCTCCACCAGAGTGTTTAACTTTTCCTCTTTTTTTCTTAGCTCTGACGCTAGTGTGGTGTAGATTATAACTCTGGTATTTTTGTTTGTCATCATTTTCCTTGAACATGAATACAAAGAAGACTTCAACAGCAGTAGAGTAAACTGAGTAGCCTGTAGCAATGCTTTTGTATTTGAAGTCAGATTAAATTTGTCCTCCAAAAAGGTTTCTGCTCCTTCTCCCTCTCCCTCTGCTTCCTTCCCTGGACTCCTGCCCCCAGCACTGCAGCCTGTCCCCACACCTCCAGGATGTTAGCAGTTTTTAGGGAACAAGATTTGCTCCCTTCTTTTCATGAGATTGTTGAAGACTGAAAAAAACCCTTAAGACTCCTCAAAATGAATTTCTGACCAGTGGGGCAGATTTTATGAGGCAGGAGACCCTCCCACAGTTTCCAGTAGGTCAGTCTCTATAATGAATGAGAGTTCTGCATGTGAATGAAGTAGAGGATGCTGAGGGAAGAATCAGGATGATTCCATATGGACAAATGGAAATAGAGATAGACTCCTGGAAAAATAAGAAATAGGCATCACACTTTATTCTGGGTCAAATAGAATATTACATATTCTAGGAAAGAAATGATCTAGCTAATTATTTTTAAACCATTTCACTTACAAAGTTCCATTTTATCTGAGTGATAGTCATTTCTTTTTTTCTCTTTCTAAGTGTGGAAGCGGAATGTATATCAATGTATGGCCCCTAGCAGGAGAGTGGTCACATGGGAGGGTGTGAAAAATGCCTATTCTGGCTGCAGTGTGTGTGCTCGTGGGTGGGAGAGAAATAACCATTAACGATGTGGAGGAAAACAAATACCTTGACTAAATTTCGTGTCATTCTTTGTGATGTTGCAATTCTCTTTAAATAAATAACTAGAACACTTCCCAAAAGAAACTGAATGTACGTTGTGAAGGATAATTAAGACTGTAGATCAAACGCAAAAACGACACTTTGGAAGAAAATATTTTTAGAATTTGCACCACGCTCCTTTCAATCTCTGGCCCAAATGACAAAGATGATTTTGTAAATGCGTTCATGTGGGCCTAACAACTTGTTGGAAAGCCTGCCTGAGTTGGATGGATATAATAACAGAACTGCAAATTATACCCTTACACAAGAATACAAAGGTAAGTCTATCTTCAGGGGGATCTGGCCAAGGTGAGTCCATTGCATATTCTTATTTAGATAGTTTCCTCTGTAGCATGTCCTGGACACTATCATAAAGTAGATCAATACAGAGTAGATTGTGTTTTCTCGATAGAAACAACGTTAGAATTGAAATTTGAAACAAATAAGCTATTGATGTGGTCAATAGTATGTTATAAAAGCAAACACAAAGTATTCAAATAAGTAAGCATATTTTCTAAATCTTAATAAAATAGATGTAAATATAGCATACATATTGATTGCAGAAGAGATGATCATATAAAGATATACTTTTATTGTATCAAAAACTTACCTGCTAATGAGAATTAAACATTTTATTAAGAGCTGAATTTGTTACATAGAAATTGAGAAAGTCCCTTTTGGATGCCTTAGATCTCTTCAAAAATAACTACAAGCAATCTTCTGCAGAAAATGACTTTTTCCCCCTGCTTATTATACGTTCTATAGCAAGCAATAACATTTAAATCATTCCAGTGACCTTAGCATGACCCTTCAGTGATACTCAAAACACACGTTGTCGGGAAGGTGGGCAGTTTCTTGTCTACTAAAAGGTTTTTCTTTTAAAAGTAAATGACAAAACTAATACATGCTCATGCATACAATTTAAAATATGCAAATAAGCGGAAAAAAGAAAAGTAACACCTCATAATTTTATATCTCAGCGATAATCATTGTTTCCTAATGTGTATCTTCACACTAAACATTGTAGCAACCAAATTTTTCCTATACCCATCAGCGAAAAAAAAAAGTCTCACTGAGTATTCATAGCATCATTTAAAATAGATGTATATTATTTTGTTCTATACAGCATACTTTATTTAACGAACCCCCATTTCTAGACATTTCAGTTGCTTTCATTGTTTTTTCCATTGTGCTTGTAGCAGCCACACCTGTGGCTTCATGGAGTATTTGCTTCGTTCGGGAAAGGGGGAGGAAGCTTGAGTCTGGTTTACAGATGTCTCTGCTGACACCAGTTGGACATGGACCACTGAGGTCCCAGCAGAGCCATATTCCCTGTGGTTGGAGGATAAGGGAGATCCTCCCAGTGGACAGCACTTTGAACAGTCCACCTTGTGGTCCATTTTGCCTGGAAGGAGAGAAGACCTGAGGACTGACAGCAAGGAGGTTTGGGAAGAGTCAGGTGGGTGATACTCTTGAACTAGGCTTCAGAATGTGTCCCTCATGAGTGCTGCCCAAGGAGCATCTACTCCAGAGGCGAGTCTCTGTAAAACAGTGGATATGGTGAGCTGCTCTGTGGATGTCCCTCAGCCTTCTCCCCAGCTACGCCAGTGCTTGCCTGATGTTTTGTGAACAAAGTAGGATTCAGGGCTGGAGGCTGTACATGCATTCAACAACAAAATGTCTTCTTACAAAGACTGGCTTGGTCATTGGCCCCTTTGAGTGCCAAGTTTTCTAAGCAATGCCCAATCCTGAACATTTCATATGGTACCACACCTCAAGTGAGGTGTGGACGGATTAGCCACCTGTTTGGACCCCTTCTGACCCAGCAGCACCAACTGTGGAATACTGAACTACCAGGACCTGGGTCACTTTTTGGAAACAATAGCAGGGCTCAGCGAATGGGGCAGCTTGGCTTTCTAGAAGGAGTTATTTGTTGTCCCGACTGATTCTGCTCCAGAGAACCATCCACAAAGCACTTGAGACTGTGAAGAATCCACGATAGGTTCCTCCACCATTCTCTAGGTCTTTTGAACTACGTGAACTGGTGATAACCTTTGACCGGTAGGACTAAGAGATGAGTGTTCACCATCATCTCCTATGGGTTTCTATTCATTCTCATCCGGGTCTACCTATGTGGGAACGACCATGTCTTGCTATAGAGCATTGAGTGGTGAATTGTAAAGGTGTTTTAGGCTATACATATGCTCTTCCTCAAAGAAGAGGCTTGGAGGGCAGAGAATCCAGTTGGTTCTATGGAAGACTTTGCTTATCTTTAATACGCCCTACACAATGCTGGTTCTTTTGCATAATATTAACTTGTTAATCCGGGGAATGATTACATAGTCTGTGCCTTAAAATTTTTTTTATTTATTAAATTTTTATTAAAATAGGTATGTCATAAAGTTTACCATTTTAACAATTTTTAAGTGTACAGTTCTGTGGCAGTAAGTCTGTGGCTTTTTGCCTCTAAACTTGAATCCACCTCTGTTTTCTATGGATACTCCATTCTCTCCAATGCCATGACCATATTTCCTGACTGCCAAGAGGCTATTAACTGTAAAACAAACCACTATATTAGTAGCAATATTTTATTAAAAAGGATATTTCTGGCATTTCCTTGGATGTCAGTTATAAACCATATTAATATTTCAGAAATATCAGGTAGAAAATGTGCATCAGAGAATTGAGGGAACATTTAGCTTCTCTGTGTCCTGTGGCAGTGGCAGGAATTAACAAAAACTAGTTCTGAAGGGAGAGTCACTTTCTGTATGATGTCCATGACGATCAAGCTGGAAACCTATAGCTTATTGGGCAGTCCCAGGAGCACCATGACACTGCCTGGACAGGAGACCTCTGAAATAAAATGTATGTTTAGGATTGTAGAGAATAACAGGGTGTCATGAGAACCTCAGAAAATAATTTTATTAAAGACTAAATCACCACCACCAAGGAAAAGGTTTTAATATTTACTGAGCATCTGCTATCTGCTGAGAAATTTACATACATTTCTCATTTTTACCTCAGTGCAATCTTGGGAGGTAGATACAGAGGAAAGTAGGTAGATTTTCAGAGGCAGATAAGCAGACTCAGAGTGTTTAAGTAATTGCCAAGATCGGATGCCTGGCAAGTAGTGAAGCTGGGGTTTGACACTTGGTCTGTGGACTCCACTGCCTGTGTCCTTCTCCATCACACCAGTTACCTACTGTGCTTCGGCCACGCCACACCATGATGGAAACAACTGAACTCCCTAGTCTCCTTCTAGCCTTGAAGTTTCAGTATGCTCTCCTTCTTCATGACACCCTCCTGGTCCCCATTGCCTATGGAATCTTGTGTTGGCTGATCACATACTACTTTGTGATGCGTTTCTATTTTTTAATCCATATTTAAAACTTTGTTATTTAGTATTTTAAATATTTATGTCCTTTCTCTTTAGTAGATGCTAAGTCCCGAGAGGGAACTGACTTTGATTGTTGTATCTCCCACAGCATTTTACAAATTGTTGATGCTCAATTACTATCTATTGACTCGATTTTAATGAGTGTTATGGAGATGTTTTCTGCTATAGTTGATCTGAAATAAAAGTCATAGTCAAGATCATTTGAAGGCTTTCAGGTATGGTTCATGGGACAATTCTTATGCCCACAATGTTGGAGATTCGGGGAGAGGGATGAGGGAATTAATGGGATTTTAAAATTTGAGAATAGTTTTTTCATTAAGAATTTCTCTAAAATATTTTCACTTCTTTGAATCTTTACTGTAAAAGTCCCCTTAGATTTCTGCTCTTTATATTTTGTTCTCAATCAGATTACAGCCCACCTCCATCAAGGAAACGTCGCTTACCATACAGACGACCTTACTGTTTATACGTCAGAGTCTTAACGTTTTTAACATTTCAGAAGACTAATACCGACCAATTTCCATGCGGAAATATCCAGCAAGATCAAACGGGGGTAGGAAAACAAAAGCTAATTTCATTCAGAAGATTCTGTCTTCTCTCAGCCTTGGTGGTTATTTCCTGCTTGAGTCACTTCCCCTGAGAGGGTGACACTGGACAGCAGCCTCGAAAGCCGGTGAGAATCGTCTCAATGAACAACAGAAGATATAAACAAACTTGCTTTCAGTTCATGGTAGTACTTATTTTGCACTGGAAACTCTGTGTAATTCAAACTACTATAATTCCCATTCTCATGCCAAATGTAATCCTGGAGGAGGCTATTGCTGGCATGAGGTCTGGAGTTTGTATTGCACCAAAGCCAGTAGCTTGTTTTTCCATCTGGGCTAGGAACAGAGCTTGCAAGATTTTTTTTTCTGAGTTACTCATTCTCTGGTAAATTCCAGTCTTGGGCTACTGTAGGACATAGGCAACGCATTGCCCCAAGAGTTGGAAGTGTAATACGGCCCTTGTTTAAAGGTGTTTTGCTACTGGAAGTACAATTAGTTCTACTGAGGTTTGTGTTGGCCACCTCAGGCTTGTGGGTTTGGTTCAAAGTTTTGATTTAGTTCTACAAGGTTTTATGGCTTGGCTACCTGAGGGACTGGCCCTCACACAACTCCTTCCTCCCAGCTGGGAGGATGTGCAGGAGTACTCGGCTAAAGATTTCCAGATTTTACTTTGGAATAGTCCTGATGGTGGCTTAAGTGTTCTTGGAGGGTGATCACATTTGGAACTCCTCTATCTGGTCTGACATGGCTCCAGTTGTTGGCTTCCCTGATGGGGAGATGTTTAAGTACTCCGTCTTAAGAATGCACTGAGTTTTTATTGCACTGAATTGGTATATGGGGTTTCTCTAAGTTTGGAGCCTGTATCAGTTTCCTATTGCTGCTGCAACAAATTCTACAAATGCAAAACAAGGCAAACTGATTTTCTTGCAGTTCTGGAAGTCAGAAGTCCAAAAGAAGTCTTAAAGAGCTAAAATCTAGGTATCGGTAGGGCTGGTTCCTTCTGAAGGCTGCAGGGGAGAATCCATTCCTCACCTCTTCCAATTTTGAGCACCCCGGCAGGCCTTGGAGGCCTCACTCCAATCTCTGCTTTCATGGTCACGCTACCTTCTCCTCTACTGTAGTCAAATTCACTCTGCCTCCCTCCTACAAGGACTCTCTGATTACATTTAGGGCCCACCTAGATAATCCAGGATAATCTCCCCATCTCAAGGTCCTTGATCACATGCACAAAGTGGCTTTTGCCTATAAGGTGATATTCACAAGTTCTGGAGATTAGAACATGGACATCTTGGAGGTCCATTATTCAGCCTACCACAGAACGTGATGTATCTGAATTTGAATCCATATTTATGTTTTCTACTTTCTTAGCCTTAGATTGCTCATGTCTAAATGATGATAATAATGCTTATCTCGCACAAGGTTGATGGAAGATTTTGAGGAGTAAAGTATGTAAAGCATCAAGGACCCAATAGGCATTCAATTAATGTTAGGTTCTTTTCCTGTCTCCTATCTGAAAACTTAAAGATTTCAGTTTGAAGGCAAGTGAGTCTTTGAGCTTTATAAATAGTGCAGTACAAATACAAACTACTAAAAATACTTCTGCCAAAGTGGTCATCACACAGACAAAATACTGGTTAATGTCAGTTAGGGGTCCAAGTCAGTAAGAAACTATAATGTAATGCAGCAGAGAATGTATTTTTGTGTTTAGAGATGTAGGTATTGTGATATGAGTGGAATTAGAAGTTTCCTAACTTAAATACAATATTGAGGATTTTCTGCTTTCAATATCTACTCTGATTTGTTTCAACAAATAAGACCACTGTGTGTTTGGGAGAAAGGGAGGGAGAGAGGGAGACATATCATTCTTCAAATGTAGAACGGTTTTTATTTAGTATGAAATAAATTAAAGCAATGATAATTTGTTTAACAAATACTAATTGAGCATCTCTGATGTATCAGACAGTGGCCAAGATGTTGACAACATAAAGATGAAAAGCCATGGTTCCTGCCTTTACATGGTTTATAATCTAATGGAGAGGCAGAAGATAAATATATAATTCCCCAAAATTAGAATAAGAGTTGTAATGGGTATAACGGAAACACTGGGGAAGAAGTACTTAAGTCTGCTGGGAGAATCGGGTAAGGTCGTGTTTAGGAGCGGTGGGCATTCTTCAGCCAACTCTTGAGGGAGGCGAAGGTGTTTTCCAGATGAGTATGGGGATAGGGCAATCTAGAAAGAGGAAGCTGTATCTGGAACTGTACGAAGGACCACAATATTGCATGCTCACAGAACCATGACTAGCTTAATGTGGTAGGAGCAGATAGGCATAGAAATTTATCTTGAGGAACAAATATCCCTGACATTGAATTCAAGGATGAATTCAGGTTGGTTTTGTATAAGGACCCCTCGATAACATAATGCCAAGTTCACTTATTCAACAAATGGGCAGCTACCATGCGCAGGAGAGAGTGCAAGGCTCTGGGCAGACGGAGTTCAGCGGACATTCTTGCCCTCCAAGCACTTCGAGTCTAGTGTAAGAGCTTATGTTGAATGTGTTCAAACTCTAGAAATGTGAAGAGTTTGCAGTTAAATGCAGTGGATATTTCTTGTGCTGAACCTTTATAAAAGTTGAGGGTCATGAAAATTGGAGTTAAAACAGAACTTAAAGCCCCCTTATTTTATTATCCAGCTGCAGTAGTGATGATTGGCTTTTCACCAAAGATTTGCACTCCCCTTCCATGGTGAAGGGTAATTACTGGGCAGCAGCTTCTTGGCAGTGGTCAAGGACGGCATTTCTCAATTCCCCTTTCATTTCAGTGGGGACATATGACTAGCTCTCACTAATGGAATCTGGCACACATAACTTGTTGGCTGAGATGGTTAAGAAGTAGGAATCTTTTCCATCTTCTCCCTCTTCTCTCATCTTCTGGCTGGATTAAAAAAAGTGAGATATCACCTTACACCTGTCAGAAAGGCTATAATTAACAAGACAAAAAATAGCAAATGTTGGAGAGGATGTGGAGAAAAGGGAACCCTTAGATGCTGCTGGTGGGAATGCAAACTGTGCAACCTCTATGGCTGTTTTCAGTATGGAGATTTTTCAAAAAACTAAAAATAGAAATACCATATGATCCAGCTATTCCACTACTGGGTATTTATCCAGAGAACATGAAGTCAACAATTCAAAGAGATTTATGCACCCCTGTGTTCATTGCAGCATTATTCACAATAGCCAAGATGTGGAAGCAACCCAGGTGCCCACCAACTGATGAATGGAGAAAGAAGATGTGGTATATATATACAATGGAATACTACTCAGAGAAGACAAAGTCACCCCATTTGCAACATAATGAATGGAACTTGAGGGCCTTATATTAAGCAAAATAAACCAGACCAAGAAAGACAAACACCATATGATTTCACTCATGTGTGGAAGATAAACAGTGGGGTTGGGTCTTCATCTTATTATGAATGACCAACGCTTTTATTTGACAAATCTAATTGTTAGACATATCTCCTTTTTATTGTGGTAGAATCTGATTAAAATCTTTTAGTTTTAGCTATTGATCTCTGGAGCAAGGCCAGGTAAGATAATATGTGTGGTTGTGGAATGGAGAAACTTCCTTATTATGGCATCGCAGAGGGAAGAGGCAAATTCTGGAGGCCCAGTCAAGCTGGTAGGCATGTTACCTGGAAAGGAATGTAAGAAAACATCATGCAGAAGACAGTGTGATCAGAGGCAGAGACGGTGTTGGGAGAGGCTATCTAGAAGCTCAAGGTGAGCCTATAATGGTCAAGAAGACCCTCGTGTGATAAAGACCTTGAAGACTGAGAGTTCAACATGTAAGTCTAATAATGGAGATGAGGGGCCAGATATATCTTTTCAAGAGAGGTGATGGGGCGCTTCTTCAGAGTAGATGAGACAGGAGCAAGAGAAAATCATTTACCCCTCTCTTTATGTCCTTCATGAGTTTTATCTTCTCCAACCTAAGCAAACCTTTCTTTCTCTTGTTTTTCTTAGTCTACGGGCTTTATGCAATTCTTTTTACTTTCCTCTGGGTTCTTTTTAAGTTGTGTAGAATTAACTATAGTACTTCACATGTGGCCAGTTTATTGCAGAGCTCATACATGGGGTAGAGCGTTAGAAGGCTGGTCTTTGAAATGAAATAGATTGTGTTTGACTTCCTAGTTTGACTTACAAACTGGGTGATTTTGGGTAAAGTACTTCTCTGAGCTTCAATTTCTACATTTATAAAAGAAAATATCATGCTGTATCCTATGGTTATTGCTGTGTTAACAAACTACCCCAAAACTTAGTGATTTAAAACAATAACCATGTATTATTTCTCAGGAGACTAAGGGAGGGTTGGCTGATCTTGGCTGTACTCTGTTATGTATCTGGAGTCAGTAGGTTGGCTGGGAGCTGGTCCGATTTAGGAGGACGTCAGCTGTGATGACTTAAATGGTCTCTCATCTTCTAGCAGGCTGGTCTACAAGTGTTCATATGGGGACTAGCAGTGTACCAAGAGAGGGAGAGTGGAAGTACACAGGCCTGTGAGACCTGGATTCAGAACTCATGCAAAGTTACTTCTGTTGCATTCTTTTGACCAAAGCAAATCCAGGCGCAATTCAAAGGGTAAAGATTCCGTCTCTTGATGGGGGAAGTAGGGGAGTTACAAGGTCACATTGCAATGGGAAGCCATTGAAGCCAATAATGCAGCCAATCTACCACAAATACCTACCTCCAAGAGGTGTGATCAAGAGTAAGTAAGAGATTATATAAAATACTTAGCACCCCGTAGGCAATCAAAAAATTCTAGTTCTTTTTCCTTTCATTTTTCTCCCTTATTTTTTTCCTATTAATGAAAGCTGGAAGTGTATTTGTTTTCTTAGCTTCTACATTATTATTCTTGGACTTGAAAGAAATCCCAAACTAACTTTTTTATATGAATCTGTCTGTTCCATTCTATAATTATATAACATGTTATATTTTCTGGTCCTAACCGTAGAATTTAAAATATATCTTTAAATAAATTAAAATTTATTATGTGTATAATAATGGTCCATATGTTGTGCATAATAGAGAGGTGGTTAGGGACACCCACTCTGGAAACAGATTTCCCGGGC